GTGACGACTTTGAATTTGAGGCCAGTTCGGGGTGGTTCTGACGCTGTCAGAACTTTTCTCGAAAAACTATGAAGGTAGTTATTCCGACGAACAAGTATATAATTGCAATGGAACTAGTTTATTTTGGAAGCTGTTACTGTTGAAGTTGCAAGCAACAGCAAACTACCCACATAATATCGGATACAAACAAAATAAACACCGCATCACTGCAATGTTTACAGCAAACATACTAGTAATCATGATCGATTCTTATTCGAATACTGCCTGACACACGTGATGATACAACATACAATTTGTAAATATGTTAGAAACTTTCACTTGTGTATTTATTAATTGTGATCGTGATGTGGTTTTAAAAAAAACGACACACTATAAATAAACCCATTGGTGAATGTGCTTTTATACGTTTCCAATGCACGATCCCCCTCTTTCACGAGGCCCCTCGTTAAGTCGCGACCCTCGATAAGTCACGGTTTTTGCTTGGATCCCGACACCCGCAACTTAGCGAGGGGCCACTATATTTATGCTGGATTTCAATTCTTGCAAATTTATTCAAATACAGCTACAAACTGCCAGATATTTATACCCTCTTTAATTTATACCCATTTAGACAGTAAATAAGACTCGCACATATCCCTAAATCATTGAAACACGGGACCCATTTCAATGACAAAAACGTAATTTCTATATACATGTACATGTAGTGCCCGCCCCCGCCAACATGATTAATCATATAACAAGTACATGTACTAGCTATTACCAAACTTTACATGGCAAGAATTCAAAATAAATTATGCAGATCATTGAAAATTTACTGTCTGATCACAGAAAGAGTATAAATGATAAACGAGAATCCCCCTCCCGTTAGTCCCACTAGAATGTTTCTTCCGGGATCTTACCTCTTCAATCAACTTTTGCTTGAGCTCCAGTCCTTTCTTTCGAGTGTTCGTGAGCGCAACTAAAACAAAATGTAAAACTATATGTAAGGAAATGTAATATGAAAATGTAATAAATTACATATTTGTTTTTGTTTCAAGTATACTAACCACGTCTATCTCTCTTCGATTTCGGCATTTTGTCCAAATTTTGTTGACAGTGACGATAGACCGGAAGCACGTGTATAACCAGTTGTTGGTAAAAATATTTCCTCCAACAAATGTTGGACATGCGCATTCATGCAAATCTAAAACGGGTTAAATTTATAGAATTAAAACAATGTTATTATCTGGCTTGATTTTAAATATTTTGCAATGTATGTGTCTCATTACATTGTAGTATAATATTATTGATTAAAGAATCTTAAAAACCGTGCGAATAATATCACGCGGTGACGTCATTTCTCTCCAATCGCAGATCCTAGTAACCATGACGTCACCTCGCCCTTCTCTTCAATCCATGAAACCCCGTTCGCTGAACTGTGGAATCCAAGTAACCGTACCACTTATATTTTACTACGCTGAGGCAATATAGTCCTAATATTGTATTTTTTCACACATTCAGGTTGATATTTAGTTAAGGTTAGTATTTTTCCAAAGTATTGATATTGTCACATATATGTAAAGGTGTTATTTTCCAGTATTTGGTGTTGGCCTATAAATATACAACAGAGTGGATTAATATTGATCATTTCGTTATATTGTGCTGTGTCTGAGAGTGTCCGCCATTTCTCGACCCTCGAAGCCCGTTCAACTAGAAATTGGCTCGGGAGAGGTTCTATACAACTAGCTATTTTCATATTTTTCCCTTGAATTTTAGCAGCCTTTCCCGTATTTAGCGATGTCATCAAAAGACGAGCTGGTGCAAAAAGCCAAATTGGCTGAACAGGCCGAACGTTACGATGACATGGCAGCGTCTATGAAGAAGGTGACAGAAGACGGCGCAGAGCTCAGCAATGAGGAGCGCAACTTGCTGTCAGTGGCCTACAAAAATGTGGTCGGAGCAAGGCGTTCTTCGTGGAGGGTGATCTCCAGCATCGAACAGAAGACCGAGCAATCTGTTTCCCAGGATAAAATTACGAAAAAGCAAGAAATGGCCAAGGAATATCGTCAAAAAATCGAAAAGGAACTGAGAGATATCTGCGGTGATGTTCTGGTAGGTGTATTTATTGTACATGGCTGCCATTTTATATTTTTTACTACACTGTCTGCATGATAATCGCTGACTGATTTCATGACACGATAATTTTTTGATGGATTGTCAATCGTTTTCCAGAGATGATTTTTTGTCGACCTTGGTCTTCATCTGACTTGTCTAGACCTGTCGTTATTTGTAATCGTTTTATTGTTGCTATTAGTTAAGAAAGGCTTTCTAAGCCACGACTACGTGACTGTCTTGTATGTGTTCTCAATGCACATTTTGCGTGACATCGAACTACTGAATAAATTATTGCTGTATTTCGTTGTATTATGTTTTGCGATGACGTAGCCAAATTGTCGATTTGTTAAGTTGTTGAAATTCAGAGCAAAACAGGAAAGTTGTCGGTGAGCCCGGGCAGGGTAAATGTGTAACTACAGATCATTGACATGGATTTAACTACCATGTCATGTGTTCGTACATGCCCCACCCAACAGTTAGTATGTGTCATGTTCGTTTTATATTATACTAGGATAGGGTTTGATTGTGTGAACTAATTAGATTGGTAAAGTATTACTCATGACTTGTAGATAAATAATCCTGTAAACAAGTAAATAATCTTGTAAACGGGAAGTAAAACTGCCCACTCCTACAGGAGATTACATTAACCCTGTCCTGACCTTGCAGATAGATGAACAGTTCAATGTTCTATATATGGAAGAAAAAACATGTTAGCTATGCTGCATGCAATCATGTGAAGGATGTATTTTTTTTATCATTCAAATTATTTTTTCTCTCTATACTATAGAAAAGATGTGAACATACTAATTTCTTGCCCCAAATTGTTTAACGATTTATGTAAACAATTTTTTTCCTAAATGCATTTCCTGGTTTGAGTGATTGTAAATGAAACATGGCAACCTACTTATCATACAGTTTGCTTGCTTGCTTTATTTAATCAACATCAGTGGGTTTTTTATACAGCCAACCTTGACAAATAGATGTTGTGCAAAAAAAATTTCCATTCATAATTTTTTCAATTAATGCGTTTGACTATAGGTGTCTTGATGTAATTTACTATGCAAAGCTGACTAGAATAAATTTAAATTTATAATCATTATCAAATATCCTTGCATGTTTTCATAATCGGTTACTGTGAAATATTTTATTTTAGCCGTGAATTAATTTTCGCTGACAAGGCTTTTTGGATGTTTTGTATGGAATTTATTTGCACTGTTTTTTGATGAGTTCAGTGTAAAATATAGGAAAAAAGGGTACACTGGATTTTATTTTCGCTGAATTATTCCTTCAGCGAAAATAGTGAAAATAAAGTATTTTACAGTATGTTGATTTGATTTTTGTCTAGTATATAGATTACCATTCAAAGTCTCATTATTAGTGTTGAATCAAAGCTATTTTAAGTCTCCATAATTGTATTAATATTCATGAATGCATTAACCTGTAATAATACACAGGATTTTATAATATGACCTTCCCTTTGTGTCCACTGGAGAATCAGCAGTCGGATGCCTTCTAACATGAAAATTAATTGCATTTTTTATTATAGATTTTTGTTTTTTTGAATGTCACTTGTGCATGATTTAAAGTCATTAAAATAGTTGACTTTCAATCTTTCTGATTGACCCACGATTTCATATAACTATTATGTCCATTTATATCTGTTGATCGCATTTACAAATTGCTACCTAATGATGAATAGTTTTTGCACCTGTCCCTACAACATTAAAAGAGTTTCCTTTATATTAATACAGTGCAGTTAGGAGTATTCTGTGCTTGAGAGTAGCTATCTAGCCTTTCTCGCATTTTAGGTCAATAATAATTATATTACGCTAAATATTTAGTCATATTCCAACTACTTATGTAAACTCAGTCGTATTTATTAATTTTGATTCGATAATAAATTATTTATTCCAGTGCATAATAAAATAATCTTGTAGTTACAGTGCCTTCTCTGCCTACCATAAATTATAACCAGGGTAAAGTGATCTGTAATTTACAAATATTTTTTTAATTTGCAGAGCAAAACCCCCAGTTATCTGTTAATTAATAATACTCGTTTCTCATTGATGTTACATTACGCTGAAAGGCAAAACACAAGTGATACTGACTTAGGCTGCTCATGTTTTAATGAAGTTGTTTTTCTTATTTTCAGAATTTGCTCAAGAAATTTCTTATTCCAAAGGCATCAAAGTCAGAGAGTAAAGTTTTTTATTTAAAGATGAAAGGAGATTACTATCGGTATTTAGCTGAAGTGGCTTCACAGGATGACAGAGAAAGTAAGTTGTAACTGTTTATTTTCCTTAATATTTCTAACCCAAAAGCACATTTCACAAGATTGTAGAACGGCATATATAATGCTTATCTTTACATTATCTTGAATCACTGAAGAAAAACTAATGTTTATGAATCAGTAAACCCTCCTCCGTATACATAGCCATTTTGTAAGATTGGAACTGTTTACTATGTAAATAATACTTTAAATTTACTAAATAGTTCAAAATCTCGCATTTTTTCAGTTCATTCTGCATTTCGATTCGTCTTTAAAAGCATTTTGTCAATAAATCTTTAATGATTCTAAATTGCATGCATTTATTTGTAGGATGTCACACATTTTTTTTGTATC